TATCATTTTTTAAATCATGCATTAAGGTGATTTTTGTACATTTTCTTCCTAATTTTTTGAAGGTAAACTGGATAAGCACTAACACCATATATATATATATGGAAAAAGTACATGTCAGCCTTATTTCTTAAAAATTAAGAGGAAAATCATCCTAAAATTACATCATTTCAATAAATTTTTATTGAGAAAAGCTAAACTATTTTATTTTTAAAGCATGCATTAAGGTGATTTTGTCCTTTTTCTTCCTAATTTTTTGGAGGTAAGATGGACAAGCACTAATCCCTGCCACCTCCATTCTCTGTTTAGACTTTCATTTCCTTGTCCTTTTCTGGTTTGATTTATTAGGGGTCCGGTTTTGATTGTGCATGCTGCAAAGATATCTGTAATTAAATTAACCTTGTTGCTTAGTTTTTGGTTATTGTAATGTTGAGTCATGAGTGTAATGAATCTTACCTTGGTAGTGCAATTTTCTTTGATTTTGGCCATGTAGATGGATGATAGTGAAGAAGAGGACTCATGATTTTGCTCAGTGAATTCATCTATTGAAATTATAGTTTTGTAGCGATGATGGTAAGAAATAAGAGAGACATAAATACTCTTTTGGTGAGATTTGGGGTGGCTTCAGCTCTCTCTTTTGCTGAATTTCATTATTCTCGATTTCAAAACAAGAGGATCAAACCATATCCCTCACCTTTCACCATGATCTTGAGCTTTATGTTCTGGCCTTTCACTAATCTTTTTTTGGTTTTGAATTTTTTTTTTTTGGTCCATATTTTAATTGTACATGTTTTTCTTAAGATCATAAAAGTTTCAGGGGAAAATGCTTGGCATTGCATTGATCCTCATGCCTCAAGGTCGGCACCTGGTTCCAGCCATGTTGTTTCAGTTATATCTGAAAGATTTGCAAGTTCATTTGCACCATGATGTCTGTTAACATATTTATTTTCCTTTTAATGGTTTGATCTTAATTTTTGGAGTTGGTATATATGAATTCTTGGAAAAAATCATGGTAACAAAAATTCTTAATATACTGTACTCTTAGTCACTGATCATGTGATATTTACACAGTGTATTAATTTGAATCACCATCTATTAATTTCTCAGTTCTCTAATGGGAATTAAATTTCTGAGTAGTTCATTTTCATTGTTGTCTACATTTCTCAGGCTGGCTGCATGTTAGGGGATAGTTAGCTGATTCAAACTTAACAATAGGAGCTGTAGGACTGGATTCTCATCAATGTCTAACACAGCTTGCCTGCTAACTTGTTTTAAGTACAAGAATTTCATGTTGGAAGGTCCTGTTATAAACCTTGTAGTGAAGAGTTATTCCCTACAGAATAGCTAAAATTAGGAGGGCATCTTTTGTTGTATTTATATAGCTAATTCATAACCTATCTTAAAGCCCCTATTATGATTTGTTGGAACCGACTCTTCAAGAAAATAATTAATTTAAATTCAAAGCCACTCTTGCAGCTTGGTCACTTGTTGAACCAAGTTGGAGAAACCAGAATATATATGGTAGACAGAGTAGACTAACCAGACGAGACTTGAGCAAAGTTTTATTGGTAAAGCATTTTTTATACATTTTGGAAATATCTTCTCAAATTCATAAAAAAAAATATTGCTTACTATAAAATTAAAAAATCCTCTGCCTATACCATTTCCTACCTAGGACTTAAGTTTGTAATTTCATTTGAATTGTATAATTTTTCCTACTGACCAAGAAACCCTAGATCTACTCTGATAATATATAATATAAAATCTAAGATTTATTCCCATAATTAGATGAATCATATCTCATAATGATATGATTCACATCTTATAATATCATATTTCTATCAATACGGAAGCCTCAAGCTTGTACTTATTTAAAAGCAGTTGAACATTTTTCGTTTTCTGTGCTTGGTTTGTTGTTAAGAACTACTGGTATCTGTTACTACATAATTATTTGAAGATGTTAAAAACCACAATCTTAAGACCAGGAAATTGGTTTTGTAGGCTTGCTGCTGCTGATGCATTGATCTTCCTTTTGTATTGTTGAGCATCAGTATTGATCCTTGACACACAATCCTTGTCATGCTATTTGAAGAGCGTTCTTGCTAATGCAAGGCAACTCAGTGGTGGCAGAGAGGTAACTCCTATCTTTCTGGCTCCTAATCCATACAAGTCCTGTTTGCCACGTGCCTGTGTTTTAGTTATACTATCAGATTTTACAGCGTGCGTACAAAGGCGTAATGGATTGACGCCTTTGTATGCAACCGGAGAAGACACCAACGAGATATGAACCATATTCATTTGGAGTGTGGACTTTGTTGATTAATGGATTGACATGGTAGTTATGAATGAAGTTGCTGCTGCCAGCCCTAAGTATATATAAGGCATCCTTGATGATGGATGCAGACTTTCTATTTCCGGCTATCTTTGCTAGTTTTTTCTGGGTAATCCTTATAATACTCTAGTTGCTGTGACAAAGGGATAGCATGCTGCAAAATAGCAAAATTGGGAAGAACTAAGGAGTAATGAAAATATGCATAATAAGATAGAGTTCTCACATTAATGATAGATGCTTTGTCATCATAGCCAGATGCAGCTGAAGCGAAATTGGCCCCAACTAGAAGGTTCTTCCTTGATGCTTCCAGGCTAAGGTATGCTGAGGCATAACACAAGTCTTGAATCCTAGTGTTTTAGCTACATAAAGAAATCTAGCTACTTTAGTAAAGACCAAAACACCACACAACTTGGTACTTTTTGTTCTTACCAGTGATATAATTTTCCTTTGCAAAAACTGCCAGTAGGTTTGTGATTGATGAATTCCCTACCATTAGGAGGGTAATTAGCCTTGAAAAGGGTGGGGAGATATAGTCATTGTTACCAACATCTACTGTAGAGTCACTGAAGGTTATGATGGACAGAGCAGGGCACCTGAGTCTTGAGCATACCCTTTGCTTATAAATGCAAATACAAAGAGCAATAACATTGCTCTTGTATTATACCTGTCCATATATTTTGCTCAACAGGGAACTTTGAGCTGTGACTTATGGCTTTGTCATGAAGATGGAAGTTGAGAAAGGGTAATAATAAATGTGGGTAACAAATTTTCAATTGAGCAGCCATTAAGCAAGATGAACTTTCCAAGTGAGCAGATCTAAGACAGAAGGGTAGTAGGAGGTCTACAAACTTGAAAGTTAAATTATTACATCAAGTCATAAAATGGATGTAAAATGTTTAAAAAAAAAAAAAAAAGACTTAAATTTCTACAATGGGAATTAAATTACTGAGTAGTTCATTTTGATAATACACATCTACATTTCAAAGACTGGTTGCATGTTAGGGGATCGTCAGGCGATCCAACCCAACCATGGGGGCTCAAGGACTGGGTTCTCATCAATATCTAACACAACTTGTTGGCATTTGGTATATCCTAATATTTTAAGTTCAAAAATTTCAAGTAAGGATGGCAGTGGCAAAGAGCCCTGGCCTCGAGGACCCCCTCCTTATCCCCTCTCCCTAGCAATGGTAGGTGTGAGGATCCTTGTAAAGATTTTTGATGGAGGCAAAAAATTCCCTCCGTCACCGTCCCCAGAGGAATGAGGAGTCCTCACAGGGATGGGGAATTCCAGCTAAAGTAAACTAAATGTTTTCATTTGGGATTTAAATTGATGGAGGGCAAGTTCTTGTGTACTAGTCATTTACCACCTAAGAAGAAAATAAATAATTAAATTAGAATGTCACGTAAAAGTAATTTTATGAAGTCACTGCTTTACAAATTTAATAGACGGAGGGAAATAGCATATAAGACTATTTAAATTAAAACCCAGCTATAACTCAATTTATTCATTTTCAATTTCTTCTCACACATAAAAATACCATCTAAAATCTTGCTTCTACTCCTAAAAAGAGTCAAACTTAACACTTCATTAGCACTGAATAAACTCATTCTATAATAACTAAACCATTCTAGAACTGTTTTTAACTTTAAAAATTAAAAGCACTCATTTAGAAAAATAAATTATTGGACTAAACCAAACTCCACAATGAAGGTAAATATTTTACAAAATGCATCCTACTACTTAAATAGAATTGATATTGACAATGTAATCAACTAAATGATATTAATACTATTTAGGTAATAGTATATGTTATAAAAATATGAATTGATAGTTTTTTAAATTTCAACTTTGGATCAACACCTTCACCGCCCATACATGTCTGCTTGGAGCCCTGATCAGGGCTCGGCCTTGCCAAATCCTTCACCTCTGACAATGTGTTTAATGCACTGACACAAGAAAAACTAACCAAGACTTGAGAAAAGTTTTATTGGTGAACATTTTTTTTATATACATATGGGAATTCATACAGAAAATATTGTGCACTCGAAAATAGAAAATCCTTTGCCTTTACTATTACCTATCGAGGACTTAAGATTTCATCTGAATCTTGTGGTTCCTCCATGAAGATTTGTATCCCTTCGGTTTGTTGGGAATGCATCTCTAGTGCCAAACACTCCTTGAGTTCTACAAGCACATGACTTAAGTCTGGCCTTTGGTCTGCAGATTTCGATGCACATGACATTGCTAACTTAGCAACTTTTGAAGCAGTGTTGATATTGAATTTTCTTTGCAACCTTGGATCAACAAGTCTTTCGATATCCCCTGTCTTCATTATAGGCTCTACCCGATCAATTATATGCGGAAGAGGATCGCACTCGTGAGCTATAGCAGGCCAACCGGTTAACAACTCTAGTAAAATTATACCGAAGCTGTAGAGGTCAGTTTTCTTGTTTACTTTTGACCTCAAAAGATACCTATATGAAAAACATAAAAGATGAACCATTTGCTAAAGGTAAAAAGGGATTAACTGATAGCTGTTGTTGTAAGTTTAATACTTACTGAGGATCCATGTATCCCAATTTCCCACAAATTTCAGCAGATTCTTCAAATTCTTCATGCAAGAATGTAGCAGATCCGAAATCAGCTATCTTGCCTTGCATGTTTTCATCTAATAAGATAACACGAGATGTCAAATTTCTATGGACTATAAATGAATTGCGACACATCTGCAGATACTCCAATCCTGCAATTCTAGCATAGCATTAGTTGATAGCTCGAGGGGAAAGTAAAGCAAAAGAAATTAAAGGAAGTTTTCACTAAATAAATTAGGACCATATGCGATATCAATAGCAATTTGAAGCCTCTCATTCCAGCACAAAATTCTTTC